CGAGCCGGAGGCACCCCGGGGTGACGCGGCACCGCAGGCGGCTGTCACCCACCCGCCGTCGGCAGGGGGCTTCCTGTGCCTGACCACCCGCAGCAACCCGTCGAACCGGCGGTACCGGGCGGAGCTGGAGGCCGTGCTGCAGCAGCTGGAGCAGAAGGGTGCGTGGCAGCGTGTGCTGGTGCAAGAGGTGCCGCGCTGGGAAAGGGCCACCTCCGAGGAGGAGGAGAACGTCCGGGGCAGCGGTTACATCTCCGGCGTGATCTACATCTACCGCAAGTGCCCCGTCCCGCCCCCCGAGGAGAGCTGAGACACCGTGAAGGGGCCCGGCGCTGTGCCTGGTGCTGTGCCGCCCCGCGGGTGTCCCCCGTCCGATGGCCGTACCACCCCCTCCGACACCAGGCTCAAACACCAGGGCTCCTTCTCAGCACCCGGTTCCGGCCCGTGCTGTGACACCACCGCAGAGCCACCCCTGCGTCCTCGCGGTGCCCACCTCCCTCATGGCCACGGTCACCCCCTGGATCCTGCCCCATCACCCCTGTTCCAGACCCCAGCTCCGTGCCTGGGGGGGTTGTTCTGCGTCCTGCAGTGACCCCCACACGCTGCACACCGAGGTGACAGAGACTGACCACACCAGGAGCAGTGTGACAGCACGACATCCGCCCAGAAAAGTTTCCAAGCACCGTCAACCTTTCATCCTGCCTTCTTAAGCCCTCATTTTCCTATGGCTTTGTAGCTAATGGGCTGGGTGGGAAATGAACCTGGAAGAGGCTTCAAGGTGGCTGTTCCCCACCCCGGAGCTGCCCGGCATCTCCTGCCCATCCTGTTCCCCGTGCCCCTCGCGTGGTGCCTCCACCCCTTCCTCCTCCACTGCTTCCTTGGGAAGTTTTTTACCCAAATCTCCCACTGGAATCTTTTTGTTTTCCTTCCTGCAGACCTGCTGCTGCTTGTCGCATTCCCATGGATGTGAGGAGCATCCATCCATGTGATTTCCTTCACATGGAAACTCACCCCATCGGAGCAGTGGCTCCGCACCCACCTCGGTGCCACCACTGCAGGAGCTGAGCCCACAGCTTTGGGGCATCCAAGCACCCCAGGCTGAATGTGCTGAAAGCATTTTGTCTCCAGCACACATCATCCCCCCTGGCTGGGCTCTGGTGTGCATTGTCTCCCCATGTCCTGGTGCTGTGGTGCCAGCCCCTGCCTCCCCTCGGTGATACAGGCACGGTCCCTTTGTCCCCAGCACTGCCCCTAAGCTGAGTGGCTGGGGGTTGTGGCTGTCCCTGTCCCGTGCTTGGCTAATGAATAAACCCTATGTGCACTGCATGATTGGGGTGTGCGTGGTTTCAGTGTGAAGGGCCATCCTGTGGGGTGGTGAGGTGGCACAGGGACATGGTGGGTGATGGCACAGCAAGCCCTTTTGCTGCCCATGGAGGTGTGAGAGACATAGGAAGTGTCAAAACACAGCTTCAAAACGAGCCCAGGCAGCCTTAGTGGCACCAAGACCTTTATAGAGCTGGGAGCAGCAGCAGCGCCCCAGGAGGGCAGCGGGATGAGGTCACATGCTGTCACCAGCCTGTGGGAAGGGCAAAGCACGGGGGGGGGGACACAGCTGGCGTGGGGACACGGTGTGCGGGCAGGGGATGTGGGATGTGAAGGGGACGGAGACCGTGGTGCTGTGCCCAAGGGCTGGTGCCTGGCTGGGGCAGCTCACACGTAGTCCTTCATGGGGTAGCCCATGGGGCCGCAGCCCTTCACCGCACGGTATGACTTGGGGTAGTGGTCCCGCTCCACAGGTGGCCCCGAGCAGCACAGGATGCCCCCACCCAGCAGCTGCAGGGCACTGGAAGCCCACCCGATGTACAGGGCAGCCCCCAGCTCTCTCTTGAGGGCCTCGGGCACCATGGGGTTGTAGAAGTTGGTGACGATGCTGTTGGCAGACCAGGAGACGGGGATGAGCAGCACGATGCCGGCCAGCACGAAGATGGCCCCCGCCACGATGGAAACGCGGCCCTTGGAGCTCTTGTCCTCCATGCAGCGCGTGCAGTCGGCCCCCGAGATGGCGGTGAGGAGGCCGAGGAAGGCCACGATGATGGAGGTGACCACCAGCGCGCGGGCGGCTTGCAGGTCAGAGGTGAGGTCCAGCAGGGAGTCGTACGCCTTGCACTGCATCTGCCCTGTGCTCTCGTAGACGCAGTTCATCCACAGCCCTTCCCAGAAGACCTGGGCCACCACGATGTTGTAACCAATGAAGGCCGTCACCTTCCACATGGGCAGCGCGCAGGTGAGGATGGAGCCCAGCCAGCCCAGCACGGCTAGCACCAGACCGCCCAGCTGCATCGACATCGTCGCCATCAGCACCTGTGGGGACAGGCACAGCCATCACATCACACATGTGGGCACCGAGCTGCTCACAGCAGCTGTGCTTCCGTGCGGAGGCATCCCACTGCCATCCAGATGGGAATGGCTGCAGGACGCGGCGGGATGTGTTGTGCATGGAGCATTGCTGCAGGGCACCATGGGGACATGGGGACACATTCTGCATGGAGCATTGCTGCAGGGCTGCATGAGGACACGGGGAGACATCCTTCATGAGGCATTCTGCAGGGAACCATAGGGACATAGGGACAGGTCCTGAATTGAGCACTGCTGCAGAGCTGTATGGAGATATGTCCTCAATGGAGCATTGCTGCACGGAGCTGCATGCATTGCTGCAGGGCTGCATGGGGGCCTGTCCTACACTGAGCTCCCAGGTCCAGAGGAGGCTGAGCTGCAGGAGCCCAGGTGAATCATGCTTTCACCCAAGGTGTCCCTTCAGCACAGGGCACTCCTCATGGCTGCCCCAGCCGGCACTCTGCCCTTGGTGGCCGCACTGCAGTAGCCTTTGGACCTGTCAGGTTTCCTGTCTGTGGGGCTGGGTATGGGCACGAGCCCAGGTCTGCCTGCAATACCAGCCGCAGGGCTCGGCACTTTCAGCAATACTGGCTCCTCATCCTTTGGAGAAGCAGCACCAGGAGCATGTTTGACAAACCAAGGCTGCTCCAGCCCTCCCAGGGTGCTATAGAGAAGGGGCCACCGCAGACGCAGGGTGCTGCTCCGAGATGGGGAACTTCAGGGCACCAACCACAGCAACACACCATGACTGTAGGCTCATCTCAAGCTCGGCCCCATGCAGAGCAGACCCCACTGTTGTGACCCAGGACCCAGACTTGGCAACTGGGAGCAGCTGAGTTTTTATGGCCCTGGTGTGGCAGTGGGTATCGGCTGTACCTGGCACGCCCTGCAGCTGTTCCAAGTTTCACCACGGTTTTCCTGCTCCCAGTTTCGGTTTCTATGGCCTCTCCTGCCCGGCTGTGCTCCTGCTCCATCCCTGCACCTCTCACCCATTGGCATTGCACTGTGATGGGCACCTGGCCGAGCCTGGGCACAGTGTTAGATTTGATAACAACGTCCTTCTCTCCCAGGAGAAGCAAGGGGCCAGGGCTGGGACGGTGGGCAGCCACCCCTGGTGCCACACAGCCATAAGGACATGGGCTGGGTGTCCTCACTGGGGACAGGCAGTGACCAAGTGGATCCCAGCACAGAGCCGGAGCATCGATCTCCTGTTGCAGATCATCTGCCACCATTTCCAACACATTTGGGCTGCCCACTTCCATCCCCATCCCAGCAAAGCGCTGGAGCTGGGAGCCCTCAAAGTCCCCAGTGAGCACCACAGCCTCACCGTCCAGGTCCTGTGCCCCATGCTGGGTACTGTGTGCTGTCCCCAGTGCCCCGAGGTGCTCATGAAGGACGTTCCCAGGGCTGGCCACACACTGGATGTGCACTGGCACAGTTCCAAGGCCAGAAGGCAAATAGGCAAAACACTGCTGTCACCCACACCAGCCCCAAGGTGCTTCCAAGCAGCCCTGGGGCATCCCAACCCATCCCAACACCCCATGTCCTGCTGGCGCCCGCCTCTCCTTCCTGCTTGGTGCAGCCGGTCAGACAGGAGCAGCGTGGGGCGATGGCCCCAATGCCCGGGGCCCTGTGATAGCATGGGGTGGCCTCAATACTGTAAAGGCATCTCGTTGCTGAGCCACCCCACTGTCACCTCCCCAGGTGGCCCGGGAGGGGAGCACAGCTGTGGTAGAGCCAGGGGTGAGGAGCAGGGGGTGGGAGGCTGGGGCTGTCCCTCCTAATTTGGGATGTTTCATGCTGGTGTTCCCAGACATGGGGTCTGCAGCTTGGAACCCACAGGTCACCCCATCACGGAGGTCAGCAGATAAAGACAACGGAGCACAGCGGGTGCAGCACTGTCATTTAATGTGGGATGGCTGCAGCACAAGGTCAGGTGCTGCCACACCGGGGGTACCACGAGCCCCCAGCTGCTCCTGCCCCACGGATGGAAGAAGTGCAGTGCAGAGCCCGGTGCCGCCTCCCGGACCGGTTCTCCCAGCCCTGCCGCTGCCTTCCCACTCCCAGAATAATGATACCCGCACCCCGGCGAGCTGCCGAGAAAAATCGCAAGTGCGTACAGCTAGGTGAGATCCCCGAAAGTAGGTCAAAGTAAGAACTGGGGGCACGGAGGGGGAAGAGCACCAAACGCTCCTCGAGACCGCGCTGCGTGTCACCGAGCCACCGCGCCCTCTGGCCACACGGGACAGATTCGACGGACATCACCCGGGGATTCTCCCCGTCCTCCGCAGTGGTGTTTGGACAAGTCGGAGCCGCACGGAGCCGCGTGTCACCGGTGGGGCGGCACCCGGCGCATTGAGCGTCCCGGCACGGCACAGAACAGCACACCCCAGCCCCCACTGAGGAGATACCGCGGGTGCCCCCGAGCTGTCGGGCGGGCAGCCAGGACGGCAGAGCGCCGTTCCCATCCCAGCAGGATTAAAGAACCAGCTCCAATCCCGGTGAACAAAGGCGGCTCTGTCTGCCCCCCTCGCTCCATCCCCTCTGCAGCGCCCCGGCCCCAGACCCGCTCCCCGCGGGGCATCCCCGTCTGGCAGGGTGCGGCGGCCCTACACGTAGTTGCTGGCCGGCAGCGAGCGAGCCGCGCTGTACTTGGCGGAGTAGGGCTTCTCACCGCGCGGCGGGCAGGTGCAGCACAGCATGGCCCCCCCCAGCAACAGCAGCGCGGAGGCCGCCCAGCCCACGTAAAGCGACGAGCCCAGCTCCCTCTTCTGGGAGTCGGCCACCAGCGGGTCGTAGAAGTCCCGGACGATGGCGTTGGCCGACCAGCAGATGGGGATGAGGATGAGGACGCTGGAGACGATGAAGGTGACGCCGGAGAGGATCATCACCTTGGCTTTGGCCGTCTCGTCTTCCACGCAGGTGGTGCACTTGCCGCCGGCGATGGCGAGCAGTGTGCCCAGCACAGCCAGCACGATGGCCACCACCAGCAGCGCGCGGGCGGCCTGCAGGTCCTGCGGCAGGGCCAGCATGGAGTCGTACACCCGGCACTGCATCTGCCCCGTGCTCTGCACCACGCAGTTCATCCACAGCCCTTCCCAGATGATCTGAGCCACCACGATGTTGTTGCCCACGAAGGCGGTCTCGCGCCACATGGGCAGCGCGCAGCAGAGGACGGACGCCAGCCAGCCGATGACAGACAGGGCGATGCCCAGCACCTGCAGCCCCATGGAGGCCATCGCTCTCCGCCACGCAGTGCCGCCCGCCGGGACCATGCCGGGCGTTATATGCCCTCGCCGAGGGAGGAGCTCCGCCGCCACCCGCCATCCCGCCGGCACCGGACGGAGGGGTAGAACCAGTTTCCCGGGATTCCTCCTCTCGCATTTCTCCCCACGGCCATGACACCCAATCGCTGCTCCCACGGATGGCGCAGGGGGCCGGGATGAGGCCACCCAGGAGCAGGAGCACGGCCGCACGCTGCCCAGGGGCAGGAGATGCCCGGGTTGACCCAGCTCGGGGTGCTGAAGGGCAACGGTGGCATCTGGGATGAGGATTTCTACAGCATCGCTCCCAGCACCTCCTTCTCCATGGCCTGCATGGATGCCTCTGTGCTTCTGTGCCTTTTTCCTCCCCCTAGCTCCTGCCCTTGTCTCCATGGGCCCGTGCCAGTCCCGTGCTGGGCTCCATGCCGGCAGGGCACAAGCACCTCTTGTTTGTTCCTTGGCATCGTGTGAGCGCTTCCCATCCCTCCATTTGGCCTCAGGCAGGAGGCACCTCCCCACCGAGCCCCACAAACCAGTCAGAGCTGCCACAGAACAGAGATGGCAGTGCTCGGAGTGGGCAGGGGCAGCCCCCAGCCCAGCAGCCCCTTGTACATGCACACCACCCTCACTAAGCCCCCAGGCATGTGCGTGGAGCAGCACAAAGCCAGACAGAGCACAAGGACAGACACTGCACCTCTCCCCCACCTGCTTAATCCCCAGGGATGACAGCAGGGCCCGAGGTTATCTCAGTTTCCCAAACACGCAGGCGTGGATAGATAAGGTATCTGCGGGGTCAGAGTGGCCAGCCCCCACCAGGCACTGCATCCTCAGACTTGCTGGCAAAGCATGACGGCGGCTTGCCGATACAATTAATTGCTAATTGATTGCTAATTGTTTAACACGATGGGCTCTGGAGCTGCCTCTGAGCACACCAGGTGTCTCTGGGCACAGAGGAGGCTCCTGCTGCAACACACAGCCCACGTGCCCAGGGGTGGCTGCGTCTCCATGGTCCACACCGTGGTCCATGCCACAAGGATGCCATGGGCACCATAGCTGGGGACACCAGCATCCAGCCAGGCCAGGCAACGGGGACACTTGGGTCTTGCTGCAGCCCTCCTTGTTGGCTGTCTGGGGCAGCCACCATCTACCAAGGTACACCGGGGCACTCCCTCAATCCATCCAACCATCCACACCTCTGGAGCACCCACATTGCTGGCATACCAGCGTGCCCACCGTGGAGCCGAAGTGCATTCAGGGCTCCCTGTAATCAGTGGGGCGGCAGCAGGGACCCACCCACCCCACAGCATCCCCTGCCTGGGGCAGCTCCACGGACAGGCAGCGCCAGGGCCGGACCCTACCTCAGGCTGGATGTGGCTTGGGCTTGCAGACGGCTGCGCCAACCACACCATCATTTGGGGTTGCAGTGGGTGTGTGCACACGTGTGTACAGTTCCATAGGAAAAGCCCAGCCCTGCGTAGGCTGTATCCCTGCAGGGCTCAGGGCCGTGCCTGGGTCTGGGGACAAATGGCAAGGTGGGAGCAAGACACGGCTATGCGCTGCGTGGCAATGCCAGAGCTATAGGCACCAGCATGGCCGTTTGACAGCTGATGACCATAATTAAAACCAGAATGTGACACGTCCTCAAGTGGTGCCTGACAACAAGAAGCAGCTCTCGTGCCCTTCCCATGACCCCCAGGCACCCCAAGTCCCAGCACTGCCACGGGTGCAGGGCTCAGCGAGGAACAGCACAGTGACAGCAGCATCGCACGGAGCTGAAAGATTCCACTCACCTGCAGACAGCAGGAGCCCCTCCTCACCAAAACAGGGGGCTCACCCCACCCCGAGGCTCTCATCACAGTGGGATGGGGCCGTGCCACAGCCCCACAGCAAGGGACACAGAGCCAGAGACAAGGGCAGCCCCTGCTCACCACGATCCTCAGCACCACAGGGTCACAGAAAGAGCTGTGTCACACCTGACCTTGTGCCGTGCCGAGGACACCTGTGGGGACAGGGCTGGCAGATGTCCCCGTGTCAGACACGGACAGCATTTCCCCCTCTCCCTCAACCCCGCATTCTCTCTGAGCAAACAACCACGCTGCGTACCTCGAGGTCCCAATGGGGCGAGCAGAGGGAGCCGGGTTTGGAGCAGGGGCCGTGCTGGAGCCGGCGCAGCACTGAGCAGCCTCTCCCCGCGGCGCACACGGGGATTAGTTACCCACGCTCCTCAGAGACTCAATGTTCCCGAAAAGTTTGCGCCTGACATAAACCCCCCTGACCGGCTGAAATGTGCACACTAAGGTTGTTTTTCTCTACCTGAAAGCAAAGGTTTCCAGACTCAGCCAAGAGCCCGTGGAAAGCGCTGTGCAAAGGAACCGCTGCCAGGAGTTCACCAAGAAAACAAACCCCCTATCCACTTACTGAGCAAAAAGCAGCCCCAAATGGGCAAAAGTGCTGCTAAGCCAAAGGGACGTGCGAGCTGCAGCCACGTCCCAGGAAGGTGACACTCGGACGCGTTGCAGGCGAAGTTCGGGGGTCGGCACCGCAGCAAAAGCCGCGCCGCTCCGAGCGCTTCGGGGTGGGGAAGCCCCGAGCACGCCGCAATGTGGGGCGCACCGCCATCCCCCCGCGAGGCCCCGCAGCGCAGTCCCCGCCCCGCCGCCAGACAGAGCTGCCATTGATGCCGGAGCCGCCTTACCTGCTCCTCGCCGCCGCCAAAGGGGCTTCAACAATGGACGTCTGTGTGCCCTGGCCGGGGCAGATCGACAGCCCCGCGCCTGAAATATAAGCAGGGAGCAGCGCTCGTCCCGCTGCCCTGGGGGGGATAGGCGCCGGCCCCGCCGCGACCGCAACCATGGGGGCACACCCCATGCCCCGCGCCCGCCGCACCGCGCACGTGAGCGGGACGCGGCCCCGCGGTGCCCGGGGCGGTTTCTGCTGGTGCTGCTGTGCCGTCACCCGCCCCGGGGCAGCCGGCCCTCCGAACAGCACGTGTGGATGGGGACCGGGATGGAGACGGGATGAGGATGGGAATAGGGATGGGATGGGGATGGGGTCACCCACAGTGGTTGTCGCCATGCAGGTGCTCATGGAGAAGAGCCACCAGCACGGCAAAGCTCACACACCCCTTGGGTCTGACCTTCACGTCATGACCTGTCCCCACGTCATCGTGTGGCCCCTCTGGTCCCCATCGCTGGGAGTGATGCTCCCCATCCCTTCCGAGCTGCAATGGAACAGCTTCACCAAGGGGCACTGGGGACCCCCACAGGCCTGCCGCCCCCATGGCTGTTTTGGGTAAACACCATCAGGCTGCGTTCCTCACCACAGGAATGCATCCCGAAGCGTGCAGCAGCCGGCACCCCGAAACCCCGGTGATTTGCCCCTTCCTCTGCTGTGAGTCAGGCAGCTGCTGCTGCCCCAGGCCGGCGGCACAGTGCAAACAGCCTGTACTTTGGGCAATTTGGGATGATGGGGTGAGGAGGCGGCGCAGCGCGTGGGGGCTGATTGCAAGGCAGCCGTCACCTCGCTCCCGTGCCCCTGCCCCACAGCACTACTTGGGACATCCCCTGCCCCAGGTCCTTCTCCTGCCCCTCTGTGTGTGTGCGCACCTGTCTGTGTGTGCTTTCGTTCCTCTTCTGTCTGTGCTGCCATATGTGTGAACCTGTGTCTGCTTTCAGGTGTACCAGTGAGTGCGTCTGCTTGTGCACATTCCCCCACGGCTACCCTCCTATGTGTGTGCCAAGTGTGCATGCAGCCATGTGTCTGTGCATCTGCTGCGCCTGTCCGTCTGTCTGTGTGTGCCTCCCCGTGTGTATGTGCACCTGTGCCTTTCTCTTTGTCTGTGTCTCTGTGCACTCCTGTGTGCCTGTGAGCACCTGCGCGCGATGGTCTGCGCATGTGTGCACCTGTGCACCTGTGCCTTTCCCTGTCTGTCTGTCTGCACAGCTGTGTCTGTGCATCCCAGCCAGCAGGGGGGGTGTATTTGGGTGCGTGTGCAGTGTCTGCTGTGCACCCAGTGCCTGTGCACCCCGAAGTTTGCTCTGCCTCAGCTCCATCCTCGGGATGGTTGGGCTCACCCCCCAGCAGCACCTCACTTGCTGTGAGACCCTGGGGTTCTGCTTGCACAGGGACCCCACGGGACACCCATGTGCCCACCAACCCCATGGGGTGCCATGGGATGGCGGGATGCCATAGAGAGCTGGGGCCAGGCGTGGGGTGCTGCAGTGCAATGCGGTGCTGGGTGCACCCAGACCAAGAGTTGGACGTGCTGTGGGGCAGCAGGAGCTGATCCAGCAGAGTGGGGGTGTCGGGGTGCTGCAAGGCATGGTTGAGTGGGGCCTCCCTCCACTGGGGGGCTGAGCAGGGGGGTCTCCAGCCGTGCTCTAGTGTAGTTAATGAGTTGTAGGGGAGCCCTCAGCAGTGGCCGGGAACAGGCCGGAGCATGCCTGCAGGCACCCATCCACCAAGAGCAGGGGGCAAATGCATTCCTGGGGTGGGGGCTGAAATACCTGCAGCACTCTGGCCGTGCAGAGCTGGGGGGGATGGCTGCACACAGCAGCAACCTGCTCATTCAGGGGGCTCGTTGGGGGGACGCTGCCCCCCGGGATGGGATCACTCGCAGGGTTGGCTCACACATCCCTTGTTTTTCCTTCTCCAGCTGCCACTGAGCCAGGCGGACAGGGTGACACTGCGGGAGCATTACGTGCTCTGTCTGCTTCCTTCAAGGACAAAATATTTGAGCACGATGAGTAAAAGACATTTATCACCTGGTCGGGGATTCCCGTAGACACACCCAGCACTGCACGTCCCACAGGAGGGAACAAGGGAGGAGGGGGGGGGCAGGAAGAATGGGACAGGAGGAGAAGGGAGGGGACAGGAGGGGACCGGTGGGTGTGGGTGCGCTGGGGGCTGTGTGGGGCAGGGGGCTGCGCAGGGCCAGCAGCACAGAGCACGTTGTGGCGAGGTGAAGGGGCTGCACTTTGCACGGCGATGCAAAGGTGCCCGAGTGCTCCCTGCTCTCGCTGAGCCACGGTGAGATAAGGAGCAATCTGCGTGCAGATAAAAATACCGACAAGGCCGTAATCTTAAATAAACTGCCTTTCTTTTGGACACCATGTTAAACGTGAGATCTGATAAAGCACTCCAGAAATACAACAGGCTGTGACCTACAGCATCCCTGCTGGAGAGGCCACGCTGCGAGGCTTTGGGCTCCCACCCAGCTGTGCCGTTCTGCGCTGTGCCATGTTGCTCTGGTGGGGGGTTCAGCCCCCGTCCCTGGCCA